CCAGCCCCCTTCATTTAGTTGTTTGGCTTTTAGGCCAACCTCCCTAAACCACCAAGGCACCACAGAGTCTCTTAGACTCTGAGTGATTCTTATTTCCTATCCCATCAGGGTCAGAGTACTTTTTTTTTAAACTGTAAGTTCATACCTTATCTATCCTATTTGTGTCTATTTGCATTTCTTAATACTGTGTTGTACTTTTCTACTTACCTTTTTTTTCATTCGTGCTTCTTCCTGCTTCCATGTCATAATTTATGGTGCTCTCATTTCCCAGATTGTTCTCCCTCTTCCTTTGTATTTAAATTTTATTGATTTTTCAAAGTCGACATGAAAGCATACCAATTCTGTGAAGTCTTCTTTGCCGTGGTCTCTCTCCCTGTGTGGACTTCACTCCCCTGGGTGTTTCCTCTGTGCTATCTAACCCCCAGGTGGTCCTTAATAGAAGGGATCTGGCTTTTCTCCGTCTCCCGCTAATCCTGTTTGTTGATTGACTGAACGTGGTGTGCGTGATGGGGCGACCGCCATTTACTGAGCGCTGCCTGTGGACTGGGCTTTACGTGTATTAGCTCATTTAACCCTCACATCAGGCTTGTGAGGTAGATTCTGTTCTTATCTTTACTTATGAGAAACTGAGGCCCCGGGCAGTTAGGTATCTTGCCCGGTGCGGCAGAGCAGGGATGTGCGCCCCGGCCATTCTGGCCCCACAGCACCCACTCCTTATCTGTCGTGCTGGACTGCCTCCAGTACTCAAGAAGAAGTTGTGTGATCCATCTAACAGTGTTTATTTAAATTTCAAATGCGTATTAACTTGCTTATGTAGCATTGGCAGTTCTTTATACTGTTGTTAACACATTAACCCCTCGTTAAATCCTTTCACAAGCTTATTACATATCATTAATTCAGTTTTATAGAGATGATAAATCCTGCTTAGAATCTTCTGACAAATCATTGATACAACCAGTATTAAAAGTTATCTTTCCCAAATCATAGTTACTAGGGAAGAGGAGGATGCTTCCTACTAAGCTTCAGTCCCACCAGCCCTCACTTATGAGCAGCTTTATGCTCCAAAGTTCATTTAAGTCGACTGTCAAGAACTTTGCTTCGGGCTTCCCTGGTGGCGCAGTGGTTGGGAGTCCGCCTGCCGATGCAGGGGACACGGGTTCGTGCCCCGGTCCGGGGGGATCCCGCGTGCCGTGGAGCAGCTGGCCCCTGAGCCATGGCCACTGAGCCTGCACGTCCAGAGCCTGTGCTCCGCAACGGGAGAGGCCACAACAGTGAGAGGCCCACGTACTGCAAAAAAAAAGAAAAAAGAAAAAAAAAAGAACTTTGCTTCTGGGGGCGAATGCGTTATATTAAACTTGATGCTTTAAGTTCTTCGGGCAGGCCATGGTAAAACGTTTTGATTTGCAAATACAGTGGTGTTCTAACATGGGAACTGAAAGAGCAAAGTGATGTTCGTTCACTAACATCCACCTGCTGTATGTGGAGCTCTTGGGCTGAACTTGGAGCTTTCCCTGCGGCATCCGGAGCACGAGCACCTCGTACAGCAGTGGCCCTGTGAGCTCCCTCCCTTCCCCGTCTTTCTTCCCACGCCCCTCTGGCTGACCACCTGAGCGGAGGACTTCCTGGGCCCGCACCACCTGTGGGTACCCATGCTCACTGCAGGGGGGTGCCTGTGGCAGAAGATGGTCAAGGATAGGAGCTCCCGAGGTGAAGGGATTCTGGAGGTCACAATTTTCTAGTCACACGCAGATCCTGCCTGCTTGCTGCTTCTCTTTTCACCCTGGCTGCTCTTTGCGTTGCTTTGCTCCATCTTACTTCAAGCGTGTGTGTGTGTGTGTGTGTGTGTGTGTGTGTATGAAATATAACTCAGATACAAAAAAATCTGTTAAAATGTCCAATTTATCCAATAATTGGCAAAGCAAACAACCGTCGAAGCACCTGCTGGGACAGGAAGTGGAGCAGTGTCAGGCCTCCGCGCTCTGTAGTATGTTCCTTCCCGGCACAACTCCCTTCCAGTTCCTGCTGGTAATCACTGTCACTGCTTCTAGGGAAATAATTTATTGTTTTTCCTTACAATTTTATCACCTAGTAATGTATCCCCACACACAGTTTTACCTCCTTTTAAACTTTACATAAATGAATCACATTAATTGTGTTCATTTGTAGCTTGCCTATTTTGCTCAGTGTGTTTTTAAGATTCATCCATGTTATGACGCGTAGAGGCAGCTCGTGTTTGTGGCAGTGTGCTGTTGCATTGTATTAGTTTGCTAGGGCTGCCATAACACAGTACACCCACAGACTGGGTGACTTAAACAAGGGAAACTTATTTTATCACAGTTCTGTAAGCTACAGGTCCAAGATGAAGGTGTTGGCAGGATTGGTTTCCTTCTAGGGCCTCTTTCCTTAGCTTGTAGATAGCCATTTTCTTTTAATGTCCTCATGTGGTCTTTCCTCATGTTGTGTGTCTCTGTGTCCTAGTCTTCTTGTAAAGATACATATTGGATTAGGTCATATTGGATTAGGGCCCACCCATCTGACTCATTTTACCTTAATTACCTTTTTAAAGGTCCTGTCTCCAAATACAGTCACATTCTGAGGTATCAGAGGTTAGAGCTTCAACATAAGAATTTAGCAGGGGACACAGTTCAGCCCATAACATCCATTATGTGATTATGCCACAATTATCCATCATATTTTTTGATGGACGTTATGATTATTTCCAGTTTTAGGCTATTATACTGCTATGAACATTCTTCTACATGTATAATGGTGCAAGTGCCTAAGTTTCTTTAGGCCAGGATGGAGCATTCCATCCTAGGAGTGAATTGCTAGGTCATGTTGCATAGCTGAAACATCAGTGGATAAATCCAGGCTGTCTTCCAGAGTGGTTGCTTCAGTTTACACTCCTCCCAGCAATGTATGAGAGTTCCCATTGTTTCACAATTTTCCATCACTTGGTATTGTCAGACTTTTAAATGCGTACCAGTCTTTTGGTGTGCAGTGCTTATTGCGGTTTAATTTGTATTTCCTATATTATTAAAGAATTTGAACATCTTTTCCTTTATTGATTGGCCATTTTGATTTTGTGATATATTTGTTCAAGTTTTTTGTCCATTTTTCTATTAGGTGGTCTGACATTTTCTTATTGATTTGTAGGAAGTCCTTAAATATTCTAGATATAAGTTTTTTGTTAAATCTGGTGTAAATATTTTCTCAAACTCTGTAGATTGTGTGTTTTCACTGTTTTACAGTCTTGATGAATAGGCATTCCTAATTTTAATGGGGTCAGTTTATCCGTCTTTTTCCATGTAGTCGATTTTTTAATGTATCTTAAGAATATTTACTGTGAGGTCATTAAGATAGATTCCTGTTTTATCTTCTAAAATGCTTATAATTTTGCATCTTATGTTTAGCTCAGTAATATATCCGGCACTGATTTTTATGCATGGTGAGGATGACCCAGTCCCATTTTTTCTCTGTGAGTAGTCAGTTCTGGCATCGTTTATCGAAAAGACCCTCCTTTCTCCTACTGCCCCAAACCACCTGTGTCACAAATCAGGTGTCCATAGTGTATGCTCTGCTCTGCTCCTAGGCTCTCCATTCTGTGTCATGGATCTGCTTGTCTCTCTCTGCAAGAGTGTTAGACAGATTTGAATCCTATTGCTTTGTAGTAGACCAGTTCCTCCTGCCTTGCTATTGTTCTTCCAGAGTGTCTTGGTTATTCTTGGTTCCTTCCATTAACATTTTCATATCTGCCTGTCAGGTTCCACAAACAGACCTGTTGGGGTCTTCATTGGAATGCCTTAACTCTGTAAGATCATTTGGGGGGGAATTGTCAATGTCATGAAAGACAAAACAAAGTAACACTGGGGAACTGTTTGAAGAAGACTAAAGAGAGACAATAACTTTAATGTGTAATGGTTTTTAAGAAAGTAATAAAGGCCTGGGACAAATGCGGACATTTTAATCTGGACTGTGTATTAGGTGATACTAATGCACCAATGTTAAATTTCCTGTTAAGTGTGATGGTTGTATGGATGCCTTTGTTCTTAGGAAATACATGCTGAAGAATTCAAGGTAAAGTGTTGTGTTGCCTATAGCTAGCTCTCAGTTCATAAATGAGAGTGGGGATGAGAGGAGAGGGCAAGAGAGTGATAATGGCAAAATGTTGACAATTGGTGAATCTAGAGAAAAGGTAAATGAGTGTTCACTATTTTTTTTTTTTTACCTGAAGATTTAAAATTTTTCAAGATAAAAATTGGGAAAATTAAATTTCGTTTTGTATATCAGGAAATCGTAGAGAGCCGGATCCAAGCTAATTCTGCATGATCTTCGTGTGCTATATTAAGCAGATTTGTCACAAAAACTGATGGTGAAACAGCAAGCAAGATTGGTTATTAAAAAATTCTGTTTGTTTCAGCTTACTCGATACACATTTCAATCATATTGGAACAGCAAATGTCTGTGGGCCGGCTCTCCAAGTAAAAAATATATTAATAAGCGTTTTGTGCCAATGGCTGATTGCTAGGAAAAGAAAACTGGGTTTTTAAAAAATACTGATTAGAGTTCTGGAAATCTTTTCCTATGTCATACTAAAAGGTGAGCAAAGTAACTCATATGAGTTGCACTCCATGCAATCCAGTTTCATAAAGCTAGGCTAAATATTTTTTTTACAAAAGCAGTTCTGGTGCTTGAATACTAATGTTTTTATTTTTCATAAAGGATCTCAGACCCTTTGTTCTCATAGCAAATATCTTCACAATCTATTAGGAAAACTCTGAGTTTTGTTTCAATTATTAGTTATTACAGCCAAGGCACACAGGAAGTTAAATGATTCCACTAGTTATGCAGTGAATTAGTAATATTAGTGGACTCACAGTTGTTGACTTTTCTTTGCATTAGACTCTTTCTTTTCCTGAATGTTAAATAGGTGATTTCTTATCAAAATGATTTGTAAAGTAAAACATCTAATAATAACAACAAAAAAAATCTTCTAACAGCAAAAGGAAGAACTGAGCTTCTGAAAATCAATCTTCGTGAGGTTGAATTGGATCCTGATATTCAACTGGAAGATATAGCAGAGAAGATTGAGGGCTATTCTGGTGCTGATATAACTAATGTTTGCAGGTATTTTTTTGTTGTTGTTGTTAATGATCCGTGACGTTAGACATTAGTTATAGAGTTATCAGGAGGACTTGTCTTAAAGTCAGTGTGCAGTTGACCCTTGAATGATGAAGGTGTGAACTGTGTGGATTTTTTTCACTAAATATATCCTGTAGTACTACAGGATCTGCGGTTGGTTGAATCTGGAATTGTGGATAAGGAGGAATCGCTCGTTCAGAGGGCTGACTATAAGTTATTCCCGGATTTTCAACTGTGCCAAGGGTCTGCACCCCTAACCCCCGTGTTGTTCAAGGGTCAACTGTAGTTCACCTTTTAGAGCCTTTGATTTTTAAGAAATTGTTTTGCCCAACTTGGTCATAAATGGCTTTGACAACCTAAGGTTAATTTAGCCCTAAATTGGAGACTAGCTGCAGCAACATAAAATAATATCATTTTGTTTTGGGCATTATTTTACTACACGCAGATGAACAAAGGTGATCAATTTTATGTGTATATATATATATAAAAATTTCCCTTTCAGTTTAGTGACATCATAACTTTTAGACAATTCACATCACTCAGTGAAGACGATTTGTTTTTAGTACTTAACTTCCCTAACAATACTTAAATTGACATCAGTAGCCTTTCCTTAGAACCATAACATCTGTGTTACTCATTTTTTCTACGAGTATTTGTCCTATTCGCGTGTAAGTTTAGTGGCACTCAATAAGCTCACAATAGCTTCTACTGTTACCATAGAAAAATGTATAAAAATTTGAAGTTTTGGTTGGCTTGGCTGCCTAATAGCTTTTTCGTGAGCACTAGTTGTACACTTCTTCCTAACCTGCGTAATTATTTACAAGTGATCAGAATGAGCTGAAAATAGGATCCAGAGAAGCCAGATTTTCTCTCTTCACTTGCCCACAAATATTCCATGTAGGGAATTCCACATCCACTGTATTTAGATATATTCATGCTCCAGAGAGAGAGAGGTTCCTGGCTTTACCTCCTCTAATTAGGTTGTAGACAAACTGGTATAAGATTTGAGTTATGTTAACATTAGCCGTATGTTTATTTCCAAGTATGCAATTCAGTATTTCATAATTCTCCTTCAGTTTCCTAGACTTCTGGGCTGTCTTTGCGGAGCAAGTGGGGAAAAGAAAATTCAGTACCATCTGAGCCCAGCCTAGACTTTTAGGATTCATTGCAGTACTTTTTATGTTTAAGTCCTTTGCATCTTGTTTTAACCTTTCCTGAGCCCTCAGGATGTCTCTGAAGTGGAAAATTCTGAGCAGCATGGTAAAAACATATAAAATGATCTTTTGAATGTTTTCCCTCAACATTATCACAATTGAATATGTTTAAAACGTTTGCAACAAAAAGTATTCACTGATTTTGGTATATTTTTAGGGATGCCTCTTTAATGGCAATGAGACGACGAATCAATGGCCTAAGTCCAGAAGAGATCCGTGCACTTTCTAAAGAGGAACTTCAGATGCCTGTTACCAAAGGAGACTTTGAATTGGCTCTTAAGAAAATTGCTAAGTCTGTCTCTGCTGCAGACTTGGAGAAATATGAAAAGTGGATGGTTGAATTTGGATCTGCTTGAATTTCTGCCAGCTCTTTCATTTCTGGTATTTTTGTTTATAAAATGTGAAGAAATTCCAGCAATTTTTTAAAAAAACAGGTTTGGAACTTTACATTGGAGAGATTTTCTCTTAAAGAAAAAATTTAAAACACAAAAGACCATACATATACTTGAGAAGTAAGAAAAGCTTACATAGAGAGCCTGATATCCGCATATCCATGCATTATAGTTGTACACCCTAACCAGAGTATTGGGGGCTGAAGAAAGCAACCAGTGTGCTATCGTAGAAACTTGTTTACAGAAAATGAAGAAGGAGCTCTTTTTCTCACTAGTGTTCATTGTTTTTTAGTTTTTTTCTGTCCTTTGCTCTGAACATGAGGGACCTATATCTGTTGGCTTTTAACATCAAAACTGAGTTTGTGTCAGATCTATTATTTGTTGTTAAGAATTATGGTTTTGGATTAAATAATGAATCTGCTAGTTAAATCTTTAGAATTCACCTACTACTGTTAGAGTCTATTATATAGTTTGAATTTTCCCTTCCCTTCCCTCACCATTCCCTCTACTAGCTACTTAATCACTTATTGAGCTTTATGGGGGAATAGCCTCATGCTTTGTGGTTTTTGAATCCTTTTGCCAAGTGGCTTCTCCGGTCTTCAGTATTTGTTTTGCTGGCAGTATTTTACCTTGGAAGGGTGGAAAGAACATCATATTTGCATAAGATGCTCTTTTTCACTCTAGACTTCTGAGTTTGTTTTCACTTTTCTTTCAGTATGTTCAACAGATAAACCCTTGATTTTTCTCAGCTCAAACATTGTTTCTTGCTGAATTTGCCTTTCATATTCTAAATAAATGCTTTGGTATTCTAAACAAGTCCACTCTCTTGTGGCTAATGCAAAACAAAGCAAAATCTTTATGGCTTTCGAGACAGCTTGTTTATTAACAAAATAACATCGTGCATAATGAACAACGAACATTTAAGAATCATTCCTTGTCTAGGTTGAGTGCTTGTACGCACGCTAAGATTAGGTTAGAAATATGACATGCCCATTTTTTTCAGCAGGAATTAGACTGTAGAAGGAGGCCAGAAAAGGAGAGGCCATGTATCTAGTCACAAGTAGAGTAGCCTAGTGTTAATTTTAAAAAATTACATTTATCCTGTTTTGATTGGGCAACCTCTGCTTTAATAGTCAAGCTTTAAAAAATTTGTATTTGATGATATCCTGAATTTTCAATTTTGGACAGCAACTACTAGTTTAAAACCAGAAATAACATATAGCTTTTTTGACAGTTAAACTCTTAGCAGCTTCCTTAAGAGATTTCTTCCCCCTTAGAACCATATACCACAGCATTCATCTAATGCTTTAAATTACCCCCCTTTCCTCTGAGGCATAGATTTATAAGAGTTAAAATCATGAGATATCATGATTTTATTTTAAGTGATTTAGTTCATCTTAAAAGTTGAAATGAGAGAACTTTCCTTTTATTCCTGAACTTTTAAAATAAAGAAATAAATAATCCCACTAAGATAATCTTGCAGACTATTGCCATCCAGTAAGTTATTTTTTTCCCGAAGTCCTAGGGGCAGTCATGGAAACCTTAGTGTTTTGATTGCCAAAACTTGTTTGCATCGTTTAGTCAGACCATTTTTCTAGATTTCATGTTATTTGTCTTGGCTTACATTTCAATTTTTTTCTGAATTCTTCATGCATAATAACGTGGTAATTCTGATTTTTTAAAAACTATCAGTTGAGCAGTATTTGGAGACTCAAGCCTCCTAGGAGCTTATCTTTACTGTGTTAAGTCAGTCCGGTGTGTTTTTTATTTCCCTTGTTTCTCATTTTGCTCTGTCAGTGGATGGTGAATGCTTTGTATGTATTAACTCCTTAAAGGATCCTGAGGAGATCCCTAGGGCGTTCTGTCCAACCTTTCCTGCACATGGTATGTGCATTGTCTTTATTGCAAGACTGTGTTGCCTTACCCAGAATGAGAGCATTTTTGTGTTTTATTTTATTTTTTCTGTTGTATTATCAAATTAGAAAGATTTGGTTCCTTTAATTCCTCTGAAAACCTGAGTGTTTGGGGTTCTTCAACACAGTGATGTCGGGACTAAGTTTTCTACACTTCTGTCTCACGGATATCTGATCAGATAGTCCTCCATCTTAGTAGGCTCATGTTGGTTGCCTACTGTGTGCCTGTCCCTTGGGTGGGCGCTCTGTGGCCACAGAGTCGGACCAGGCAGTGCAGTACCGACTGGGCACTTCCTGTAATTACACCGTGTAGCTTCTGGCTCCCACTAATGAAACAATTTCAGTTTATAAATGGAAGGCATAGCAACCTGCGAGTTGCTTTGGAAAGATAACATATAAACGTTTTTCTCTCTTTAAATTTGCTTTAAAATTAGAAGTGGTATCCATTTGCTTGAACAACAGGACTACTATAGATCTTGGCTATTTTCATGAACAATTTTTGTCATTTCCCAAGCTACATGTTTATTGTAAACACATACACATGCAATTATGGCAAACATGTAAACGTGTTACATGTTTATTGCAAACATTTTGCTTGCACAATTCCTTTACTTTTAAAAGGAAATGAATATTAATGGAATGTGCCAGACAAATGGCTCTCTAATGGAGGCTGAAACCTTCTAGTAATCCACGTAGAAAATAGACGATGGCATCACAGACTTTATCTTCAGTCAGCAGCAGTGTGGGCATTCCAGAATGACCAGACACACTTTGGGCTTGGACCTCTACCTCCCAAAATGCCAAGACAGCTTGGAAGAGGTAACATGTTGTGGTCTAGCTGCCTAACTGGGGGTTTCGTTTGGGCTCCAGAGACTGCAGTTTTTATGATGTGATATTTGTCCAAACGTAGGCTGAAATCACTAATTACTCAAAAAGTGAGCAAGCGTCTGGTGAATCTGCCATAAAAAAACATACATGTACATCAGGAAAAATGTGTGCACACAGCCCAGATTTTCAATATAAGTGTCACTCTTTCACTTTGCTACATGCAGCCTGACTCTTCTGAACGGAAAGTATTGGTACTGTAGGTTTCGAACACCTTGAGCTTGTTTGAATCCCCTCCTTGGAAGTTTCTGTGTACACTGCCGTATCCAGGATGAGAATCACAGACCAGTCGACGCGGTTCTGTTTCACTTTCCTTACCCTAGCAACCTTGAGGCAAAGTGAAGGATGAGGCAGGTATTGCTTGTCATGTGGGCTTTGGCTCCTTCTGTGTTGTCTTGATTATTGAATCTTTTGGCATAATAGTAGATTCCCACTCCTCCTTTTCTCTTGTGAATGATAAGTCACCTCAGGGTATTTCCTGTGTGATAGGCATAAAATGTTAAGGATAATTGTTGGCCTTTTCCAAGAAAGGGCCACTTTAACCATATGAAGAAACAATAGTAATCCTTCTTTTAACATTTGTTTTGTATCTTCTGTTCCATAATGGTTTTGATTGTGTAGTAGTTTGCACATACCACTTAATTTGTGATGTACATAGTTGTTTTTTTTTTTTTTTTGCGGTACGCGGGCCTCTCACTGCTGTGGCCTCTCCCGTTGCGGAGCACAGGCTCCGGACGCGCAGGCTCAGCGGCCATGGCTCACGGGCCCAGCCGCTCCGCGGCACGTGGGATCTTCCCGGACCGGGGCATGAACCCGTGTCCCCTGCATTGGCAGGCGGACTCTCAACCACTGCGCCAACAGGGAAGCCCAACGTACATAATATTTATGTGAATCTAAGAATCTGTCACAATAGAAAAGGGTAGAAATTATAGTTGGAGGGCGTGTTAGGGGAATACAAATATTTAAACCCCAAATGTTTTATTCTTATCTCTGCTAATTATTTTTTTTTTGCAGAAAAAGCTAAAAACTGTAATAATTACTATGTTTACTTATTTATACCTTTAAATTAGGCTTTTTGTACTTATTTATTTGATTTTTTAGGACGTTTGCTTTTAATATTGTTTTCTCTTGTGAAAACTATATGAATATTTAAAAATAAAGTCCCTAAGATAACACATATGTTTTTAAACATTCACAAATTAACAATAATTCTTTGAATTTTTATTAGGTTTTTTGGCTCCGGACAACTCTTTAACTTTAGGAATATTTCTCAATTTCCAGATGACTTGTTAATAAAAACAGGAAAAATATTAAGGTAACGTCATCAAATTTATTCTTTTTATTTTACCTTTCTCCTTTGTTGATTGGTTTTATTTTATATGTATAGAAATAACCTAGATTCTGCTTTGTCACCAGCAGTGTGTAGGTTTCTGTACATATGGAAATTTGGTAGGGAATTAATGTGGAGGTTTTCCTCCTATGAAAGGACTCCCATTTTATTTTATGTTCAAAATCATAAAATGCACTTTTGTTTTACAACCTCTGAAATGACTAAATATTGCCCTTTGGAAAACCTGAGTCTTTGCACGTGTTATTTCCAGAGTCTACCTCAGTCAAACAGGCTTAGTTTTAGGTGCGAATGAATTGAAACCATATTGAAATTCAGTTTGTCATCTCCACTATACCTATGTGTTCGTCTAAGCGCTTCCTTCTCTCTCCTCTCTCACTCATTTTTTTTAACACTGAAATTTCACTTGAAAATATTTGTTGTTCTTCCTCTGGGAAAGCCATATATTACAAGTGAAGCCTCTACAGAATGTCTGGGTGAGTCTTCCCTTCTTTGTTGGGACAGCTTCATCACTCGATGTTCCTCATGTCAAGGAGTGGTTTCAAACACAACACACCTCCCGTTTTCTCATAGCTTCATAAATACAAACTCATGTGACAGCATTAAAAGTCTCGGGACCTATCTGTTCCTGTACAAGGACCTAAGTACTTCATGGAAACACACCGAGGTGGACACGTGACATGTCTGTTCACACGGCAGCAGGGCAGCAGGCGTCGCCTTCGGTTAACATTGTGCGGACACAGTGTCCAGTGAGATCGCTATGTGCTGTAAGTGTTTTGTTAAGATTTTTGTTTCAGTGTCTGTCTCCCAGTATTTTGAACCTAATTTAAAGAAAAAGACGTTTCCAAATTGTATTTATTAAATGTGCTTTTCCTTACATTTTGTGCGGCTACATCACTAGCTTCATGAGCTTAGCTGTGTCTGTGCATAGGTTGTAGTTTGGTAATAAATTTCTAGAGTGTGGCTTGTCGGTGTTTTCTTTGTGGTTCATATTTGATCTACAGTCGCTGGTCCACTTATTGCCACCAGTGGGAGTAACAAATCCCTCGCTAGTATGGGATGACTTTTTCCGGAGTTTCAGTTCTTATAAAATCACATATTGTGAACCTGACATTTTGTGTTTGCCGTGCATTATGCTAATAATTTCAAGGTTGATGTGGCTAAGATAAGAATGGCTTTTCGATTAATTCTAACTGGTTTAACAAATACACGTATTTGTGTAGCACCATTGCAAAGTGGATGTTCCATAAGGTGAATTTTCCACATGACGGTGTCTTTTTTTT